CCCTGGCCGCGCCATCACCCCGGCTCCGCCGCCGCCGCCGCCGCCCCTCGGTGCTGCGCGCTCTCCCGGTGGCCCTGCGGGCGCCTGGTGCGTTCTCGGCGCTCCCCCGCGCAGCGGGGCTCATTGACTTTGGGGGCAAAGTGGAGGAAAGTGTGGGTTTGGGGGGTGCGGAGGGGGAGGGAGAGTTCCCCGCGGGACCCGGCTGCCGAGGGCCCACGCCCGTCCCGGAGTCGGCGCCCCCAGGGGGCCCCGGGGGCCACCGGGCAGGAGGGGCCCGGGCGCGGCGGTCCCTGTCCCGGCCCTGGCGCGGGTCCCCCGGGCGGCGACGCCAAGCCTCAGACCCGCCCTCTGCAGCTGGGACAGCGCCTCCTCGGTCCCGTCACCTCTGCCGCGAACCAAAGCCGCGAAGCCACCATCCGCCCTAACCAAACCCATGGAAACCGCAGTAACCACCAGAAAAGGGACGCCGGAAGTCCCGCCCAGACAGCTTCCCAGTCACGAAATGCCGCTCTTCTGCTCTTTCATTGGAGCAACGCAGCTGTCCTTGGGCGCAGTGGGTTATGGGTAATGTAGTTCCCACGACTACGCATGCCCACAGCGCGTAGCGTTCCGTAGCTAGACATTGAGGAAAAACGTCCACGGGCACAGTGAGCGGCGCTGGGAAATAGCATCCGGGCATCAAGGGCGTGGGAGAGGGTCATTCCTTCTTAAAGGGGCCGCAGGCTGACTGCAGGAGACTGTTGTCTGCAACTCATCACTAAAGTATTTTGAGATGCTGTGAAGGAAAATTTTTTCCTCTACCCTGTTCTTACCTTCTTCGCTCAGGCTCTGTAACAAAAGACTTCAAAAGCAAACAGAAGTTCATTAACATGTACATCTGATGTATACATGACAGAGTCAGAGCTGAGTAACTCAGACGTGGATTAGAATTGAGTCTTGTGTAACATCTTCCAGGAAGAACAATACATTTTAAGCGAAGTAACAAGGACAAAGGAAAAGTACCTTGAGTCCCTAGGGGCGGCAATTAATATGGGAAAGTAATGCTGGATAAAGGCTAGTTGGTAAAATTTATGTAAATTCCTCTGGTGCTGTCTCCAGGCTGATGAGGTTCTGAGGTTGTTTCTGGTGATTAACTTTTGTCCTTTGTAAATTTATGTACTGCTTTTAGGCAAATAGGGGGAGAAGAGAGTGCTATTCTTGTGTTTGCTGCTTTTTAATTGCCTTTAGTTTAAAATAAATGTATGTCAGGGCCGGCCCTGTGGGGCAAGTGGTTAAGTGTGCGCGCTCCACTGTGGCAGCCCGGGGTTCGCAGGTTCGGATCCCGGGCGCACACCGACGCACTGCTTGGCAAGCCATGCTGTGGTGGCATCCCATATAAAGTGGAGGAAGATGGGCACGGATGTTAGCCCAGGGCCAGTCTTCCTCAGCAAAAAAAAGAGGAGGATTGGCAGATGTTAGCACAGGGCTGATCTTCCTCACAAAAAAAATGTATGTCAAAGAGGCATATTTTGGGGCAAAGTGAAGAGGAGCTCATATTCCAGGGATGGAGTCAGATCCTCGCAAAGGAACCAAGTAAATGATCAAGAGAATGTAAAATGCCCCTAAGGATCCTGAAAAAAACAAAAACAAAAGAGCATGAAGAGACCAGAGAGTTTGGGGTGACTCTAGATGGGGCAACCCAAGAAGGCCTCTCAGAGGAGGGGATATTGGACTGAGTCTGGAATGCAGTGAGGAAGGGAGCCATGTGGACGACAAATGAATACAGTATTCAAGTCCTACCAGTAAGTAGGGCTACAATGAGAGAAACACAGGGCCTCTTGGGCACTTACATCTAAAGGGACACCTCATTTCTGCACATTGTCATCACTGGACAGTTTAATGGACTCGCTTTCCAAATACAAGTCATTGTCTTCACCAGGAAAATGGATTCTCTATTAGAATCCGGTTCCTGTTGCTGATAAATAGACAACGACTGCAAGGATAAACCTAGTGACATTCTTGGTTCCCGGTCTGTCCTGCAACCGTCTCTGACCTAGCAGAAGAGTGGCAATTCTCAAAACGCTACTCCCGCCCATCTTTGCCCACAAACTCAACCCTTCCTCTGCCCCAGGCCTTAGCTGTGTGGAGCCCAAAGGGAAGGGAGGCCCAAAGGCCAGACTCCCACTGGAGTGAGCTTCTAAGATCATTGCAAGCCCAGATATGCATCTCACTGTAGCAGTGTCCAGAGCAATGTTCCCTTGGCCATGCTGGCACGGAGGGCACACACTCACGTGTGCCCTCTCTGTTCCCCTCTACTCAGAGAGGGGGATTGTTAGTATTCCCACTTTACCCCAAGAAAATGGAGACCCAGGGAAACAGGGGGACTTGCTCCAGGTCACAGCTCTGGGGAAGTGTTCAGCCAAATCCACCCTGAGGTCTCTGGGCTCTACAGCTCTGCTCCTCCCTGTCGGTGCCATCCATACAGATGGCACAGGGTCAGAGGGATTCTGAGAAGCCACATTTCACCCTTCCACACTGCATCCCATTGGATTCCTGTAGTGGGAACTCTCCATATAATCCCTGGCCTGGATTCAGGACTTTAGGGTGGGAGTGACCCTCCACAGCCCCCAGATTCAACATCAGGAAGAGAGGAAGACAAAGTGTACAGGAAAAAACGTCATCTATTTTAGGGCACTAAGGACCTGTGGGAGGGGTGAGGGTCTCAGTGAGGCAGCCCAGGAAACCCTCCACTCACCTGCCCCGGTCTTCAGTGCCAGCACCGCCACAGGAGCCGATGGTCAGAGTGGGCCATGAGAGATGGCAAGCTGGGCAGGTGGCACAGGCTCAGGCGAATCCAACCCAGGTCTTACAGAAGGTCAGAGATTGGTCCCTTTCTCCTTACTCCCCTTCCCTGCTCCCTGTCAAAGAGCAGCCTCGATGGTTCACAATACATCAGGAGATGAGGGTGACTCCAAACTTTGTCCCAGGCAGCCAGAAGGATGGATTTGCTATGGGCTGAGATTTCGAGACTATAGTGGAGGAGGTTTGGAGGAGCCACCAGGACCTCATTTTTGAACATATTCTGTTTTAGATGTCTATTAGACAAATGAGGTAGAATTTGAGGGAGATATTGAAATAAACTTTGAAAACCCATTTAAATCGTTAGATCCATTTTAAATAATAGCAGAAACAGACTGCAGGACTGAATGGAAAGTCTGTCAAGTTAAGTAATGCAATTCAAAAATAGAAATCACATTTAATGAAATTCCAACAGAATGTTAAAATTTCATAGGTTCATCTACTAATTGCAGAGTTATGAATTTTTGTGTGTGTGTGTGTGAGGAAGACCAGCCCTGAGCTAACATCCGATGCCAATACTCCTCTTTTTTGCTGAGGAAGATTGGCCCTGGACTAACATCCATGCCCATCTTCCTCTACTTTACATGGGACGCTGCGGCAGCATGGCTTGACAAGCGGCACTTCGGTCTGTGCCCAGGATCTGAACCTGCAAATCCTGGGCTGCCGAAGCGGAGCATGCGCACTGAACTGCTGCGCCACCAGGCCAGCCCAAGTTATGAAATTTTTGAAAAATGAAACGAAGTGCAATGAAGAAAACTTGCCCTCCTGCATGCAAACCTATGGGAAATAATTGAGGGAACCCGCCACCTGCACCATTGTTCCCTGATAGCTCTAGAGCCTAGACTATGGCCTAACAAAAAACATCAAGTAGTACAACCTGTGGGGATGCAGATTATCCACTACAACTACCAGGTACTTCCTATATGGAGCTGGGGAGCCCTTCTTGCCCAAAATGAAACGACACCATGAGGGAACCTATCTCAGTTCTATGTTGTGAACAACGTAAAAGAATATGGCTATGCCCCCAGGAACGGTGGAATTCAAAAATAACTCTTACCTGGCCTGTGATAAAAACTCCTGTCCAAAACAACATATGGTCTATGGGAAGGGGACGATTTTGCTGGGAGGGAATAAGAAGCCATACTGTTCAACTATCAGATCACTATTGCAACCAAACTGAATTTAAGATGAACAGTGCAGGTGTTTAGTGTAATACAGAAATTATAGGAAAGATTTATCTTCCAGAGATTAATAAGACTTATGATAACACAAAGAAAATTATGCCTATTGCAAGCTGGAACTAAGACCCCAGCTGAAGTTAAGATCATGGAAAATGAATGGCCCGAGGAAACGTTAGATTTGGCTTCTCAAGAAGTACAAGATGCACTTCAGCAGCCCGAGGAGACTTCTCATAAAGTACAACTGCAGATAAAGGAGAGAAAAGAATTGTCCAGTTAGTTCAAAAATATGCCAACATCTGTTTGGAATTCATTGGATGGCTTTCTTGTCTTTCTTGTTCATCTACTAACATTGATATTATAAAAACTGTATTCAGGGGTCCGGCCCCGTGGCGCAGAGGTTAAGTGCGCGAGCTCCGCAGCTGGCGGCCTGGGTTTGGATCCGGGGCGCGCACGGACACACCGCTTGTCACGCCATCCTGTGGCGGCGTCCCATATAAAGTGGAGGAAGATGGACACGGATGTTAGCCCAGGGCCAGTCTTCCTCAGCTAAAAAAAGAGGAGGATTGGCATGGACGTTAGCTCAGGGCTGATCTTCCTCACAAAAAAAAAAAAACAAAACTGTATTCAGAATTGTAATTTTGACTGTATTAATTACCATGTTAGTCTGACTTTGTGCTAGGTGTCAAAGGAGACAACAACACAACAAGGCCTGGCTCATGTTAGCTAGGAAGGTAGGCGCGATCCAGAGTGCATTTGTAGTGAATGACTTGTAAGATAGGTAAGGAAATGAGAGGCACTCCACCGTGTCAGAGAAAAACCAAAGGAGCGCCTCCTTGGTCATGAATAAAACCGTGGGTTGATGACGACCAAAAG